AAAGTAATACCAGTTCTTCACTAATTACAAAGAATTTAATAGCAGAAACACAAAATATTTTATTTACAATTTAACATGCTTTTAGTGTTATTCCTTTGTATGTTTTTATTCCTGTGAACACGAGGCTATCCGTTCCGGTATGATGTCAGAAACCCCACATCATTTGGTGACCACTAACATGTATAATCTCCTTCCGTCTCAGTCATGATATGAGGGCTGGTCAAAAAGTAATGATGCTTCTTCTTTAATTACAATACATTTAATAGTAGAAGCTCACAAGGCTGATAAAAAGGAACAAAATAGACTCAGGATTCCAAATTTTGTTTTCGAGAGTCTTGTTTCATCTCAATCATGATATGAGGGTTGGTCAAAAAGTAATGCCTGTTTTTCTTTAATTCCAACAAACTTTATAGAAACACACAAAACAAACCAAAAAGTACAAAAATGTCTCAGGATTCCAAATCTAGTTTTCAACAGTCTCCTTCCTTCTCAATTGTGGTATTCTATTTTCAAATGAAGACATGTGTACCAACCTTGTATAAGCTTCTTTCTTAGCCATGTACCTCTTTCACTTCATTTTATTGGAGAATTGCTGCCTTCTCAGGGCCTTTACCATTGAACATCAATATAGTCTCCTATCTTCTTTATCACACACTACTTCTGTTCCTAGCAGTTTGTCAAAATTCTGGGAAACTTTGAGTAGCCATGAGACTGCACTAATCTCTGCTGGCACTATCATGGATCATTTGAAAGCTTCCAATGTTTCAAAGCAGTTTTGGTCTTATCCACATCCACAACAGCAGCTGACCTGCCACTGCAAAGCCTAACATTAAGATCAGTTTCTCCTTGGAATTGTCATCAACTTTACTGACCTGTCTCTGTACTGTACTTATACCAAATGTGTAGAACTCCCCCGAGAATTTTACTTTTTTTTTTTATATTTTTTTTTTACATGTGTTCAGAGGAGCAGCCATTTTAGAAGAGGATTATGGGTAGAGAGAGAGAAGGTAACTCCAGAATTTTTTTTCTCCAACTACAACAACTAGCAATTCTAATACTAAAAGCATTCTAAAACTAAAAGTGAATAAGGGATTACTTTTTTTTGACTAACCTCATAATATGAAAGTAGAGATTTTAAAAGCTGCCTGCTTATTTTTCATCAATTTTATATATGCAATACTATGGCTATATTTTATAAACTGCTTTTAATTTACTTCTGTTCTGTTTATAGCATTTAAGTCTTCAAGGACTTTCCAGTTACCAGTAAAAGTCTTCGGTTAGGGTTATGGTAAAAGGAAGGAGTGTAATGGTAAAGGAGCAGATATACTGGTAATGGTAAAATTAACAATTTCCATTCAGTTGAAATTTATAAAATCTTTCCCTGATGATCCGTTTAGGTGAAACCTAGGTAGGTTTGTCTGGCTCACTAGGTGTATCTAGGTTTGCTCTACGATTGTATTGAGCTCTTTTGTTAGTTAGTTGTTACTCGTATCGGGGTTTTTTCTTTGGGCTTCAGACCTGCATCTGTGCGATTTTTTGTCGGCAGAAGTTTATGTTTGTAGCTCTTTCTTTTTTTAAAACTTTTTTTCCCTCGAAATTGATTTGATTAACAAATCAAAAATTAGGGGTTTTTCAAACGAAGTCTAGTTAGTTATTTAGTTATTTATATTTATATATATATATATATATATATATATATATATATATATAGCTGTGTAGCTATCTATCACTGAATTTTTTTTCTTTGATGTTTAAATGCCTTACCAATTGAACCCCTGATGATGATCTCAGAAGGAGATAGAAAGTACTTGGGGAAATAAAAGTGATTTTCATTGTTACAGTGCATTTCTTGCCTTATTCAATTGTAATATACGGAAAAATATTCATGAATATGAAAGGATTATGAGAAAAATAAGCAGATATAATGTTTGTAATTTATTTAATCAGACATGCCTTATTATATATATATATATATATATATATATATATATATATATATATATATATATATATTTACTAATGTTCATCCAATACAAGGCTCAAGAGGCACTCAAGGTAGAGGGAGTGTGGAGTTATATTAGGGAAGAAAAATTTTTAGGAGTATGGAGTTGAAGCGGACTTTAGAAGGACCCGGAAACCCAATCCTAAACAGGAAACGAGATAAACCTCTACTCCTAAAAAAGACCAGGAAAGAGTGTGAACCTGGCGACAATTGAATGTATCTACTCCAATTTGTGAAGGAGGGGAAATATATAAGTTCAGATATAAATAAATGCTAATAAAAGAAATGACAAAAGAAATGTCTCTCTTATGCCAATCCATTCCATGGGGAACTTTAACAAGGCAAATGTAGAAATTCAGAAATGTAGAAAGGTAAATGTAGAACTTTCCTTCTGTGTGTAAAAACATAAGAAAAAAAATGGTATTTATACAAACAAAAAAAGGTTTTCCTCAATGAAACTTGTACATGGGCCTTGATAAACTTCCTCAAGTAACAAAC